CAAATCTGAGTCAACAACACTATCACATTTGGAAATTTATCACAAGTACATTTATACTTAATAATAATAATAATAAATACTGTATGTATGTATGTATGTATGTATGTATGTATGTATGTATGTATGTATGTATGTATGTATGTATGTATGTATGTATGTATGTATGTATGTATGTATGTATTTATATACATGGCCGCCACGAGGTTAAGGTCACATGGTACTTTCCTTAGTGATTAAGCAAGCCCAGGATATTTTTCATTTAAATCAATTATATCCTGCTAAATCATTATTATTATTATTTTTTTCCGGACAGCTTTTGAAGAACCAAGTATGATAAGTTAATAAAAAAAAAAATTATCTGAAAATACTTAAAAAGCAAATCTGAAAAGCATATCATAAAAATGTTTTTCTAAAGTTTACCTAAACATTGTCAACAAAAAGCCTAACAGGCTTTTTACTGACAATGTTTCACAGAACTTAGCTCTATTCAGATGAAGTTGCCTATTGAACAATCTCTGACTAAATGCTCTATCCTGGCTTTGAAAATTTTTAAAAGTGAAAATATTGCAAGTTATTTCTGACGCTGGGCAGCTGATTGGCTGGAAACTCATTTATGGGATATTTCAGCAAATATAAAGATTGTCTTTTATTACTTTGAACGGTGTACTTATTATTTTTCCCTGATCTTTTTTTGGTAAACCCTTTTTCTGTACAACCACTATTTTAATGTATATATATATATATATATATATATATATATATATATATATATATATATATATATATATATATATATATATATATATATATATATATATATACTTATTTATTAATGAAACTAAAAATATTGAAACCATTTCAAATGTATACAAATATATATGTTAATGGGGAAAAATTTAAAAAATAAGAAACCGCAGTAATATACAACAGCACAAGTGATCAGTGAAAACAGCAGTAATATACATCAGTGATCAGTGAAAATAGCAGTAATATGCATCAGTGATCAGTGAAAACAGCAGTAATATATATCAGTGATCATGTTGTTGTCATGGTGATCACAAATATACCAATAATTTCTAAACATAAATAAATAAAACATTTAATAACATACAATATTTAAATGTAAGTAAATATGACTATTTTATTAAAAACTAAAAACAAAATTTAGCTTATAATTACAATTTTATTCATTTTTATCACATTTACATTTAATGAAAACTTTTTAAATGGCACTCAAATTTTTGGGACACCCTAATGCATCAATTTGCCTATTGCTTCCCTTATTCCAAACAGCTGCTTGCTTCCTGCTTCTAATTTTGTTGCAATGAAAATAAACTACTATTCTTTTGATTGATTTTTTTGTTGCATTAAAAATCTGAAGGTCCAACTGAAATTTAAAGAGCTCTTGGTAATTTTGAAATATCAACTTGTGACAAAAAAATTATTATTAAAGAATTTTTAATATTTAATAATTGCTGTAAAACTAGTATACTCTAAGAAAAAATCTGTTAAATACAACAAATTGCATCTGTCGCTATTGCACCAACGGTTTTTCCATTATGTTAAAATTAAGATTTATTCCGTTCGTACAACAATTTGTTAAAATAAGGAAATTATTATGCTAGGCGGCATTTGGTGTTTTGGTAAAATAAAAAAATTTACTACGTCATCATGTTGAATAATTTATTATTCACTTTATTAAAATTACAAATTAGTCCTTATTTTTAATATATAGATTATCTTATTATAATATTCAACATCTAATACAAGCAGTACTACTTATACAAACTAACATGATTGATTTTTCAGCAAGCTTTAAAAACGTTTTAGCTTTTAAATTGAAAACTAACTAAATATTTATAATATTTTAATGAAATATAGAAACTTTCAATTACTATAAAAGTTTAAAAATTTAAAGAAAATTATAAAAAGTTTATTAATATATATTTTATTAATACAGTTATTATATTCAAGGTCAAAAAAATTTTTTATAAAAAACACAGACATGTATACAATTGTTACTATACTAGGTTTCAATTTTTAATATTGTTGTAAATTCATGTGTGTGCACATTCAATTCCAGCAACCTGTTGTCAATTATTTAAAGATAAGCAAACCTTAAAACACAATAAAGAAATTATTAAATATAAATGATATACCATAATACTAAATGGAAATAAATTTTTACTTATAACCCTGTAAGAAATATTTAAACTAGTAAAAATTATGTTATTTTATTAGCATTTCAATGTATTAAACAAAAACTAAATACACTATAAAAGATAACCTGCTAAGGGAAAGGTTCTAAAATTTTTAAACACCTCAATAGTTGTTTTTTTTTAGTTAATTTTTACACACATCAAGAATAAAAGAAAAAAAAGTCTCTCACTTTTATATTTAATAATAATAAATACGTTAAAAGTATTAATATAAGAATTTAAGTTTGATACCTTATGCTTGAATGCCACATGTCTAAAGTAGCAAGTTCTATACAAATATAAATAAGCAATATATAAACTTAGTTATAACTAACAAAAAAAAAGTTACTAGTAAAAAAAATAAAATAGTTTTACTACTAATTTAAACTTACAGAGTGATATAGCATGACACGTGTCTAAAATAGCAAATTATAAAACTTAAATATACAAATTATAACAATCTATATATAAATTTTACTGTAACTAGCCTAAGTAAACATTTTATAACTGATTTATTTTACAACTGGTTAAACTTACAGAGTGATATTGCATACCACGTGTCTATTCAAATTGCAAATTATAAAAGCATATAAACTAGCTCTATGTAAACATAGCTGTAACAAACCCAAATAATAATACCCATCAAAAGAAATGTTAACATTTTAAATTTTACAACTGATTTAAATTTATATCGTAAGTTACTGCATGTCACGTTTAAAATAGAAAACTATACAAGAATATACAAGTCATAAAGAGTTAGTAGAACAATTATTTCTGTATTATAGAAATAATTGTTCAACTAACTCTTTAGTTTATCATATAAAAAAATTAAAAATATAGTTAATGCTTTATATAGAAAATTTAAAATAAGCTTAACAACCTTCGAAATTACAAATAACAGAGTGTAATTTAAACTGTGTTTTTCCATTTGCTTAAATTATGTTTTTTTAAAATAGCTTCACATTTAGTCAAAATGTGAAGCTATTTACAAAATGGAAAATTAAACTTACTGCAACAAACCTTTTATCTACGACTTAATTGTGGTTTAAGAAAAACGCTTTTTAAAACTTAATCATTTATAAATAAAGAACTATAACATATTGACAAATCTAAATCAAACAAACAAGATTTAAAAATATAATCTACAGAGGAAGCACTTCATAATTTCTTATGGAAACCCTTTTTAATAAAAATTTCAGTTGTTTTTCAACAGATTTGAATTAACGAAAATCCGTTGAATTAACGAAATTTCGAAGAATCCGTTAATAGTTAATTTTACTCAATTAATTTTGTGATTTTTGGTTATGAATTACTTTGTTAATTTAACGGAAAAAGGCAATACGTTGCTTTTTCTAGTGGATTGTTTTTAGAGTGTAAGATTAATTTTAAAAAATAATGGCAATTAAATTCATAAATTACTTTTATGGAATTGCCATTATTTTTAAAAGTAATGGCAAATAGTTCTGTAAATGTTACACAAATTCTCTATAATTTGATAATGAAACAAGTTATAATTTTATATAGGCATGGAATTACTCAAAAAATATTTGCTGCAGCTTTTACATTATTATATGTGTATAATTTTCACAAATTTAATGAACATTTAACAACATTTAGCAATTTTAGTTTTTTTAATAAATTTCTAAAAAACTGGAAATTGTTTATTGTTTTTACAATAAATGATCTTGTTGTTTCCTAATGATCTTTCTGTTTCTTGATGATCTTTCTGTTTCCTGATGATTTTTTATTTCCTGATGATCTTTCTGTTTCATGGTAATAAATCTATATCTAGATATGCAGCTATATTAAAATACATTCACATGGTATCATTAATCATGGCTGGTACATCGAGGCATTGTTAATCATGGCTGTGTTATTTAGCTAATCTTTTATATTATAGCTTATGTTTTAAAATAGTAAACTGCAAAATTTATTAGTTTTAAGGTAGATGCATTATTTGCTGGTATAATAAAATTTTTTTAATAACCCTTTTTATTCAATAATCTCAATGTCGAAGTTTAATGCTCATCATGGTTTTGCTTTAGTATTAACTTCTTTTCTAAATTTTATTAATGCTCTAGACATATAGAATGCTTTCAACAATGTCTGGCATGCTGGTCTTTTCAATAATTACTTTTCATATGATAAATTTGTAAAAAAATTTCCTTTTCTTATTTATGAAATGGTCTTCCTAACAATCTTATCTTTAAGGTGGGTATTTGCTGAAGATAAACTACACAATTATATAACTACATATCTTTCTGTCTGTTCTATATAAAAAGTATTATGTTTGGACTAGGGCCTGGAAGAATTGAATATTTGAAATAGGAGAGATATAGTAGATCATGAGAAAGTAAAAGATAATCTAGCTCATTTTATACCTAATTAGTTACAACTTGAGTTAACAATAAAAAAATAAAATATGATGGAAAATGTTAAATGTTATTAAAAATTAGTTCAAAGTATTTGATAAATTGCTGGAAGATTATACCACAAATCTAAATTCAAAGATAAAATAAAGTTTAAAATAACATAAAATCTGGCATAATTTTGTGAAGAGAAAATAGAAAAGAAGTTGAATAAAAAAGAGTGATTTTTTTTTTTGCTTTAGTTGAATCTATCATACTTGATGGGTTTATGATTTATGTCATTACTTTGAACAATTATTTGGTCATTATTGTCATTTACCCCCTTTGTTTTATTTTGTTTTATTTACCCCTTATTTATTTTTTGAATTTAAAGAAATCAAACACAATCCTAAATAGTTGTCAGTTGTTGTAAATAATTAGGTTTTTTTTTTAGGATTTCTTATGGAGGATTGTATCTTTGATTATTTAGTTGTGCGAGACAGTGGTAAGTTTGGCAAAGAACTTGGCAGGTTTTGCGGCAAAAATACATCAATAACTATAATATCTTATGCATCATCATTATGGCTTAATATGATTACAGATTACCAGGAAAATAGACATGGCTTTAATGCAACTTGGGAGTTTATAGACAGAATAGGTATGCCTGTTTACAACCTTTTGTTAAATGTTGTCATACTTGTAACATATATATGTATATATATATATATATATATATATATATACATACATACATACATACATACATACATACATACATACATACATACATACATACATACATTCATGCATGCATGCATGCATCCATACATACATACATACATACATACATACATACATACATACATACATACATACATACATACATACATACATACATACATACATACATACATACATACATACATACATACATACATACATACATACATACATACATACATACATGTATGTATGTATGTTTGAGGTTAGCAAAAATTAGCTTATCTTGTTACTATGTTTTATGGTAAAATCTTTGTATCAAGTTTTTTTTGCCAGCCTTATGTTGACCTCTAATAGTTTAATTATAGACAGAGTATCAGTATCAGATGGTATCTTAAAAACATAACGACAAAAAAAAAAATTATATATATATATATATATATATATATATATATATATATATATATATATATATATATATATATATATATATATATATATTAATGACTTCACTTCCAACAAGGCTGGATGTTGATTATTGTTCAGGCTTAAATTATAATTTTTCACTTTTTGAGTTACCATTTTGAATCCACTTTTTATTGCCAGTTACTATATTGTACAAAAAACACTATTTGTGATAACCTGGTAATCCTGTAAATTTACTGTTTGTAGTAAAAAACAGCTTTTAACAAGTCTTTGTGTTTAAAAGTGCCAAAATTAACTTTATGTAAAGATAAACTTTATGTACAAATCATTAAAACTAATTAAATTTTATTGTTTTTTTAAAAACCCAACTTAATAGACTAGAATGTTTTTTATTTTCAATAATAATTTAAAAAACTGCTTACATACATCGACTGACAAATAGATAAAACATGCCAGGAGTGTTGTTACATTAATTTGTGTTGACATGGATTTGTGCTATTTTAATTAAATTTTATATTTTATCTAAATTAATTTAAATATTAATACTCCAGTTAATGTTTAATGCGCTTAGTTACTGTTTAATGCGCTTAGTTACAATTGTTATAACAAAGGTAGATGGCTAAAATAGAATCTGCTAACGTGTAATTGGTTATTTATGAAAAGTGTAATTTAATGCGCTTAGTGACGATTATTAGTTAATTGACATCAAATTGAATTGTTTTAAATTTTTGATTTGATATTGCAAAAAATCAGGTTATATATTAAAATAATTATTTAAAAAAAATCAGGTTATATATTAAAATAGTTATTTAAAAAAAATCAGATTATATATTAAAATAATTATTTAAAAAAAATCAGGTTATATATTGAAATAATTATTTAAAAAAAATCAGGTTATATATTAAAATAATTATTTAAAAAAAATTAGGTTATATATTAAAATAATTATTTTAAAAAAATCAGGTTATATATTAAAATAATTATTTTAAAAAAAAATCAGGTTATATATTAAAATAATTGTTTTAAAATTACTATTTTAATTGTTTAAATTGTTTTTTTTTTTTGATTTTACAAATTTTGATTTTGTATCACTAAAGTTTATTTTAATTAAATTTATTTAAAATATTATATCTTATACAAAGGGGTACTTGCCTATGCAGTAGCTATGTTGCGGAACATGGGCTATGTAGTAGCAATGTAGTACCTATATGGCAGGTAATGTAGTAGCATTTTGTATATTAGCTATGTATTGGGCGGGTAGCCTGTGAGCTATGTAGTACCTATGAAATCAACATTCCTGTTTAATTTTTATGGATCAAGCAGCCTTTAGTATGAAAACGCTTAAATATAATTATTTGATAGCTGAAACCAGCAGTATGAGTGCTTAATCTGCTGCAGCCACATGAACTGAAAATTTATTATACCCAAGTATGTCTTAAACATAATTTATAGTTTGTTTGCAACAATTTTCCATTTGTTAGTAAAGCCATTTTATTTGGCAGCTGAAGGGCTGCTGAAGGGCTGGAGTTGTAGAAGCATGTTTAAAATGTTCATTTCATAGGCAAAAGTTGTAAAAGTTTGCATTAACTGAAAAATGAGAGTACATGATGGGTAAGAAGAGTTCCACAAACGCTATTAAAACACAGTAGTGGAATAATACCTGTTAAAATGGAAGATACTTTTAAAGAGTGCATTGAAACACCACATCAGTGCATTAATTGAGAAACGGTTTAATTGTTATTGAGATATGACAAATATGAAATGATAATGCTAAACAAGTTATTTTAACACTCAGTAATTTGAATTCACTGTCAATCAAAGAGCAAGTGCTAAAACATTTACTGACAGATCAATGCATTTTTACATATTTTTCGCAAACAAAATATACGCTAAAAGTATTATTTTTTTTTTTTTTTTTTTTTTTTTTTGTAATTAAATTTTGCGCCATATTAAATAAAATAACAAGGTTTCAGTAAAAGAACAGAATGAAGTTTCAAAGCTTAAAGTTAAAAGCAACAAATAGACAATGAAACTGAAGATTTAATATTATAGGAGGCAAAATATTTAATTTAGCCAACTTTTAGTATATCCACTTTGTTATGCTATGTGCACATATAACACTCAAAGAAATGCATGAGAAAATGGTAAATGATCTCTAATGAGGTTAAAATCATTACTTAATACAAACTTACACAAAGTTGACCAAAGCACAGAGCCTGTATTATCTACAGTCCCTGTAAAAACACAATTGATTTTTCTATTAAAATGTATTATGGTTTGTTTTCCTGTTTCTATAACTTTGACTGACAAGTTGGCTCTGATTATAGCTACATCCTGATATATTATCCTGCTAGAAATTCGCTTTGGGGAGGTTAATTTTTGTATGTCACCATCTTTTATTTTCAACAACAGTAGAAATCAGTGCATCGCATTAATGTGAGCTTATACCTGTGTCAACTGCAGTTCTAGTTGCAACTAAGAATATATTCTTAGGAATTGAAAAAATCTGATTATTGTTACTAGTCCTTTTTTGGAGAGATTAACAGATCTCAAAATCTTGATCATTGCCATTATCTTCAAGACTTTTATCACTTTCAGAGGATATTTCTATGTCGAGTGTTGAAGATTCCTTCATATTATGGTTATTTTTTAGATCGCTGAAGAATATTTCTTCTTACTAACCTCTTAGAAACTTTCCCAAACCGAGTATTTATGATTATCATGGTGGTCATTTGATTGTGGAGATACTGTGCATTTTCTTCAATGTCCCCTGAATGCCTTTTTTTGTCAAACTCTATGCTTTTCATACAAAGTTTTATGTTTTCTCTAGCTTAAAATAAATCTAAATAAAGATGATTGTTTTATTTAAATATTTAAAATATTTATTTAAATATAAAAACAATTCATTTTTCAGGATTATGTTAGTCACTTACATGAACAAAATTTTCAATACAGGACAATCTGAAAGTAATTACATTTTTTTTAATCATATTGAAATATTTTGTTTTTGAATCTACTTTATTGACTAACAGAAGACCTGAAAGACTAACAGAAACACTAAAACTTTTCTTCCCTAAGGTGCAGGAAATTAAAGATGAAAGAGCTTTTAGACTGGTGTTTTGCTCTAAGAAACAGATTGTGCTGAATGGATCACATGCTTTCTCAAGGGTAACTGGTTGCTTTACTTTTTCTCCAGAGTGCTTCCTACCAAGAATTTTTCTTTTTTGTGTGTAGATTTCTTGGGGTTTTTAGCTTTCGAAAGCTGCCTTGATGTTGATGTTGGAGTTGGTCTCCTTCTTTTCCTTTTTCTCAATTTTTTTTTTATTATAAGCATGAAATAAAAGGCTATAAACAACAAATTAATTGTTAAATATAACTTTTTAATACTATATTTCATAAACAAGATTGAGTTAATAAAATTGAGTTAAAATTACAGAAAATGTAGTTTTGATTCAATTTAATTCAGAACCTGCAGTTCTGCACAAGTTTTAATTATAGAAATATCTTCACTTCTGCAACATTTTTTTTATCAATTTTTATGACTAATAGGAAAGAGAATAGCTTTTATTCAAATTTTATTCATATGACAACTTTATCTTACGAAATTAATCTCTAGGGGAATTGTTTGGCAATCATTAATTATTGTCTGAAGATATTTTTACAACTGATTGTCCAAAGGGAATTGCTTGTGTTAATAATGTTAATGATTATCCAAAATGAGTATTGGAAATGGTTGTGCAAAAGGAAGTGGCTGTGTAAAAATTATTAGTAACAAATGTTTAAGTAAGAGCGGTGAGGGGTAGGGGATCCAGGTTGGTTTACCCTGTCAGCAAGCCTATTGACCATCATCAGCGGTTAAAAAATACTAGAAGTGCTTTACTATTCTTATTTTTTATTTTAGTGGTGGTAGGGTGGGAGGCATACAGTTAAATTTAATGATCTACCCTGAGCATGATAAAGTTTCTGTGCATCCCTAATAGCAGCCTTGGTCTTTAGCCCAAACAACCTTATTTTAGTATGATGCTAAAAATATATTTAAAAAATCACAAGTTTTATGTTTTTAATATTTCAAAAATAGAAACAAATATTATTATAAGATGCAAGTTATACAAGGTTATTTAGGTTCATGTAAAAGGTTCATGTATTTAAAAAAATAAAGAATATGAATATGTATGTTCTGAAGTAAGGGTTGCACCAACTCGTCAAAAATGCCTCCTAAAAAAGCCTAAAAATACTTTTTTTTTAAATTTAAAACAAATAGCGGGGGCATATGTCATCATTAAAAATTTCTTTTTTTTACAAAGCCATTTTAAATTCAACACCTCTTTTTTTATGCACCTCATACACCTACATACACTTCTTCCTACATACACCTTTTCCTTGATATTCCTTTTCCTACATATCCTTAGTATATAAACTGTATATAGATTCATCTAATCCTGATTGTAGCTGATCCTGATGCTGAAATTTGCTGCTTTAGCTTTTGAATTTAATTATTTTAAAGTTATTAATATTTAAACTAGCCTAAAAATCATTTTTTGGCATCAGCATAAAGCCCTACTTTTCTCTTCAACTGCATTAAAAAAATTTCATATAAATGTTTATAGCTGCAAAAAATTCATTAATAGCAGTAAGAGCTCTCATTGTGTTTTTATCCATATTTAGACTTTACCCAAAAAAAAAAATTTTTTATAGCATCAAACAATACGGCATGTTTCACTATTAAAAAAGGTGAGCTTAGTACACCAAATTTTCCTTCATTTTACTGGTCAAACATGAATTGTGAATGGGAAATTGTGGCAGAAGAAAATTCAGTAATAGTATTGCGATTCATATGGTTTGAAACAGAAATACATGAATCATGCCAGTATGACTATCTTCAAATCATTGATGGTGCAGGTACTTTCATAAAGGATCGAATTTGCGGAATTAATCCATTTAAAGGTTAATGTTTTTTTAAATTTGGTAATGTTTGATTTTTAAGTATTTATTAATTTATTAAAATGTAATTGTTTTTGTTTATGTTAAAATATTTAAGAAGCTAGAAAAATATTTATGAAAGTTTTTTTTTATTTGTTGAATATTTAGTGATGACAAATAATTGAGCAATAATTTTCTCAATTATTAAACATTAGGGGTGTTATTTCCTTGACAGTTATTTCCTTACTTTCTCTGAATTTACAATACCATTATGCGAAAGCTGTTCCATTGTCACCTTAATAAGCTCACAAAAAGTTAGCTGTTATATAAATAGTATAATTCTTTCTGAGAAATATTTGTAGATATTAATTTGCATCTAACTATGAAGTATTTGATTGTTGTTCTTTATCATGAGATGAACCGACTTGCTGGATTATTCTAATATTTCTTTCTATCCAATCATTTGCGACACTAATTTGCGACAATAATTTTGATTTTTTTAAAAAAAAACAATCAAAATTATTGTAAGATTCAGGATCTTCCAAGTTGCCTTTAATACGAATGATATATAACCAAACCTTAGTGCAATCTGCAGCTGAATTTTCTAAAATTTAGTTTGAAGATCAGAGCATGAATCAGCTTAAACTAAATGTGTTAGTAGACAAGTGCCAAGAATAAGTTTGCATACTATTTAACAATGCATTACTTGTCTTAAATTTCCATTCTCATACTCTAACAGTTCTTTTAGTTAGCTTTTCAAATGTCAAATAGACCTTCTATTATAGCCTTGAAAAATTGCATATAGTTATATATTAAAAAGCTATACTCATTGAATTTTAGTATAGTTTGTTATACAGACCTACATGTATTTTAAGAGAATGGTATGTCTTAACTTAAAACTCTTTTTTTTTTGTTCACTGATGTTTATCTTCCAACTTAATTCTTATTTTTGTACCATAAGCTGCCATTTTTTGATGCAGAAATTAAATACTTTCTAAACCCAAAGCTTCACTTGTATTTACATTATATAAAGATCGTTTTTGATTTTTCTTTATCTGTAAATCCAATACTTAATAAGTTTTCTAAAACCATAAATGTACATGAAGTTTTTATTTTATTAGTTTATAATAAAGAAAATTTAAGCTTAACGTTAACAAAACCGTAAAAAAAAATAAGAAAAATTGAAATTGACTGCTTTAAATGTGGTAATTTTCGAAAGGAAAAAAAAATCACCCTATTGAACACGATTGAGAGTATTAATATGATCAATCATATCTTTTATTGAAAATCTCATTCAAATTTTAAATATCTGAAAAAATACGTTAAACTTATTCTTATTAACCATGATACGAATTTAAAAATATTTTTTTAAAAGTAAATCAATTGTTTTTTTTTCCAAACAAATGGATCTATTTTGGATCAAATATGAAAAAAAATCTATTATCAATACCGCAATAATATAACTGTTACCAATTTATAATACAATTGCATAGCAAAGAAAAAAAACAGTTTTAAATTATTTAAGTCGATTTAAATCCCTTAAACACAAAACTGCTTAGTTTGTATATTTAGGTTTTTATTTTTAGTAATGCCGTATTTTTAAATCATTTTTTTTTTAGAAATTTTAGTTTCAAAGACAAATAAAGTAAAGTTAAAATTTATTTCAAATGAAACAATAGAAAAACGAGGATTCAAACTGAAATGGAAATCGTATAAAAAGATGTCATAAATTAAATGGAGATGTCATAAATTAAATTGAAACTTTTGTCACTGAAACTATATGAAAAAGAGAAAACAAAAAGACTTTGAAGAAAAAGCTACTATGTTTATGACGTCATGCTAAGTTCATATTCAGACTTTATTTGGTTTTACCTCACAGAAACATTTGCAGTGAAATTGATATTTTTTAATTAATAAGTTTATATGCTATTTATTTATAACACGTTTATTGTTATTATTTTTATTTTAAAATAATAATTGAAAAAATTGCAAGCTTAAGTATTTTTTCAAGATCTCTATTATCCAATAATTATCTTTCCGATGCCAACAACATAATCTTCTATCTGACATATTTTAGCGCTCAAAAGTATTTGATAATTTTTATTGAATTTTTAAAAAACGAGTTATCTCCTCGCCGGTAGTAAACCTGTCGCCTTATAGGAGAATATATAAACAAAATATAAAAGCAAGTTTAAAATATAGTTTAGTATCTTGGTGCAGTTTTGATAAGATTCAAGCAATAGACTATTATGTTTGTCATAATAACATGTTAAAAATAATATGGAAAACTTCTTAAAATTTAAACGATATCATGTCATTTCTCAATAAGCGATTAAAAGTACATTTGAATTGTTCATTTCAAAAACCTCATAAGTCACTCAACTAGATTATTTCAGGAATCAATCAAAACTGTTTCATGCACAAGCAAATGAGTTTCAAAGCCCTTTTTTATGCTTAATTTAGTATCTGAGTGGTAAAAAATTTAAAAAGCAAATAACCTTCACAGTTTATTAATAAAAATAATGAATAAAACCTGAAAAACTGTTCTTGACTTATGTTTTTTTAGCAAGAAATAGGGTTAGAGGTATATTATTTAACCAAAACAATCGTAATAATTGGTTCATCTTCATATGGATTATCTTCATCTGGCATCATGGATCATATTCTCTATCATTATGGATTATCTCAATCTGGATTATCTTCAACATTTGCAGTTAGCCAGCTAAAATAGTTGTTATAAAATGGCATTTGCTCTTCCAGAATGATAATCGCTCAACTTCCTTTTTTTTTGTCAAAACTTTGATATCATGTTTTATAGCAAAACCAAGATCATTTGACTGCAATACTTGATTTACTTCATTAAAGTAAATTTTTATCAGCTTATATACAGAGTTTGCTTTTTCTAAACATCTTTCTTCAGAAAGCGGCTGCATAAAAAAATATAGGACATTGTCTAGTAACTCGGTAAGAAACCGAACCACTGAATTGTCAGTTTGAAAAGTGATTAAATCTCATTTAATAATGTCGTAATTTCCTCAAAAAAAAATTTCAGTGGAATAGTGAGATCTTCCACAGCTTTAGCAAGACAAAACTGGTGTTTTGTCCAGGCTTTCCATTTCGAGGTTGCTTCAATATTGGTAAGCTTTTCCAAAACTTTACAACTTCAATTATCTTGGGCCTAACCATTTGGGCACGTTTGGCAACATTACTATTTTCAATCCATCAGTGTGCGCAGAACTTAAAAGGATCATTCCTGAACTTGCTTTAAATAGACTATTTTTTTTTATTGATGGGCACTTTAAAATCATAAGCTTTAGCTGATTGAAGTGAAACAAGAGTTAAGAGTGTTTTTATAAATAAAATTGAATGTTTAATCAATCAATATATTTTCTTGGCTATGATAGTACCTTTTCTACCTGAAAACTCATGCAATACATAAGTTTTCAGTATAATTCAGTTAAAATTGCACCTTTTACATACTATGTCAGCGGTGCGAATGTTTCTTTCTGTTCTTTTGGGACTTTTTTTCCATAAGACTCAGTTGACAAACAAGTTTTTTTGTACAAATTTGGCCAGTATTTTTTAAATTCCAAAACATTTTCAGCTTTTAGCTCTATAAATGACTGTAAACTTTGAGTTTGAAACCAAATCAATGTATTCTCCTGGAACGTAAAAAAGATCATGCTTTCGAACATTATTTTTTATGACTCTTTTAAACACGAATGACCACGTATGGGAAAATACTGATAAACTTTTTAAAATGTTTTAGAGTCAGTAAAAGCCGACATAAACTTCATCAATGTATTATTTCTATTTTTACCGGGGTAGCCGTCTGAAAATAGATATAAATACCGTAAGCCAAGGTTACTTTGAATAGCGAGGTAACTTTGAATACAAATCTTTTTTTTTTTTTTTTTCAAGTTGTAATTATGCAAGAATTTATATGACACTGTTCAAACCTTAAACATCAAAGTATTAAAAACATTTTATATTTTGATTATTTAAAGTTTTACTTTGTTTATTGGTTGTTATTGTTCCTTAAAAAATGAATTAAATATTTTGAATATTTTTTTCAAAAAATTAGTCAGAATACTTTGTAGACTTTCTCCGCTAGTGTAGCAACTTGTTGTCTAAGTTGCATAATTTTTGTTTATAAATTTATAAACATATAAGATTTTAAGAAGTTTGTTTGCCTACTATAGTTATGCTCCATTGCTATAGCCTAACATACTTTATTGTATACATTTTTTTGCATACGGGGTAACTGAGTAACGTCCAAAGTAACTCCATTGCATAAATAGTCAGAAAAGTGAAACAACTTAAAAATTTCCTTTTTCATACATGTATTATATATAATATATTAGGGATCGTATAAAAAATTTGGAATATTCTTGTTGCTTATAAGTTAGTTATTTCAAACATTTAAAAACCTTCCTACGCCACTGTATATATATATATATATATATATATATATATATATATATATATATATATATATATATATATATATATATATATATATATATATATATATATATATATATATATATATATATATATATATATATATATATATTCTCATATTTATGTTTGTATGTGTCTGTGAGTATATGTTGTTTTCAGAACACTTATAAATTTTAAATCTTGTAGAAAAAATGTGTCATATAATATGTGTGTACATTCAATATTGTGTTGAATTAAATTTGCTGAAAGTACTGTTATTCATCTTTAAATTTTTTTTTGTTTAGCATTTCATAGTAGTACTATACCACTTTTATACAAAAAAAAAATTGATATTAGGCTGTTCATAAATTATGCTGAGTGCCAGTTTACAAATTTTATGGTAAAAATAAACATCATTCGATAAAAACGTTAATAGATGTTCATTGGATGCAAGTTGCCACTATACATAATATGCCACATATATAACAATGTTTATAAACTTAATTCAAAAACACATGGAAAATCCATAGTTTTTACAAGTATGCAAAATATTGCAAATGTACAACATGTTATGTTACGTCAATCATGTTTAGTGCCTCTGGTTAAATTGTCTCTGGCTATGCTTATAAAGATAACCATTTATGCTCAACAAGAATCCAAGTGAACCACCTAATGTATATACAATAAAAAATATAATCAAAGTCTGGACGGTTTGATTCTATTCACTTTTTTGACTAGTTTGTTATTGGTTATTTTTTATTAAATTGCAGAAACATTCCTATTAGTTATATCGAAGCCATCTTTACAGTAAAAAACTTGAATTAACAAAAGAAAATCTTGTTGAGAAGAAAACAGTATCTGGTAACTCTACCCATTTATTGTAATCTCTTGAAGTTGCATTTTATGGATCTCTTGAAAAATATTGGAGTAAAATACTTGATCAATTGAAAACCTCTTGTTTAAAAAAAAGCAAAGACAATTACAAAAAATAAATCTTCTTTGTTCTTTATTTACTTATAATCATTATGTTTGTCAAATCAAAAGGTAATCAGCATCTTAGTAGCTTAGTGGTTTTGGAAGAAATATGTGATGCGCCCATTAGATATAAGTATCATCTTCAATCATTTGCCAGATGATAGTTATAACTTTAGTACGCCGAGTAGTAATTAATGTACTTTTTTTAGTAATAATGTACAATTTTTTCATGTTAATATCAAAGAAAAAGTAAGCTCAAAGGGAAAAAAAATTACTTTTGACCTAGTTAAAAATATTTCTTTTAATGATTTTTTTGCAAAATGTAAAGATGTTCCACTTGCGTAGTCTGTAAGTAAAACTGATGCAAATGAGACTTTTTTTATGCTCAAATCTACTCAAGTCTACTCAAGTCTACTCAAGTCTACTCAAAACATTCCCATTTAAACAAAATAAAATACTCAATGGGTGTTTGTTATGAAATAATATTATATTATTATAGCAATAATAAATAAATGTGAAACTAGACTGATGTTTTTATTAAACTTTAAAACAAAACAAGGCGTGAATAGGTTTTGCTTTTACAAAAAACGCATTCAAAGTTGCCCCATTTGTAGGATAACTTTGAATGACTATTTAAATTAATGTTATACAATTTCCTTTTATTTAAATATTATTTTAAATTTGAATTATATAAGAGTCAATCTCAGCCCCTATATTTATTTTGTTAAATTTTGAATATTTTTAATAGTGAAGGAAGAGCATTTAAAAATATCTCAAAAACGTTCAAAGTGACCCGCAAATTAAGATATGTGGCCCAATATTATTCTTTATATAATGCATCAAGATTGAACAAACCTCGTTGACTCTTTTTTCAGCAATGTCTTCTTGATACATGTAAAATTTTGACTTGCTTGTTTTTAAATCCTTAATACCAAAACAGTGAATCCATAGTAAAAATGTTTTGTATAGGTATGTGTGGCAATGGTAGATTAAAATCAAATGTTATACCCGCAACATAATATTGTCCCTTACAAAGATCTTGAACTAATGAATTTTGTTGTAAAACTTCTTAGCACGTTTTTTATAAATCTTTACCTGAGCCACTACCAAACGTTTTGCATTTTCTGATAAGTTTAATTATTTTATTTTTGTTAATAGTTTTTCGCATATTATATTTTCAACATGTGGTCGAATAAATCTAAGGCAAAAGTATTCATTAAAGTGTTGTAAGTAAAATTTGTACTTTATACCAAGATCTGGATGTTTTTCGTTAAACATTGAATACATATTTTTGTCATCCAATCTTGCATCAAGATATTTAATGTCTTTTCCTGCGTAATGTGCAATTTTCCTAGGAAAGCAAAAAATGTGTTCGTGTATTTTTGGACATATTTCACGAGGCTCTGTATTTGGTTTCGGGTGACATCCTTTGTTATTGCTAGGACTCTTCCCTTCATTAAGTAAATCACAAAGTGTACGAATTCATGATTCAGTCTCTCCATAAAGGCTGATAAATGCTCTCTTGCAGACTTTAACTTTATCAGTTTGTTTTAAAACATGGAAC